TCAAAATGGCTGCCCTAATCAGGCACCTGGAGGCTGCCAGCTCCAGGCCCTTAAAGTGGCAGAGACACCCTGTGCTCTGCCACATGGACCCTTTCCCATGCCCTGCCTTGACCTGGGAAAGCCCCAGGATGAGCATGAGCACATGATGAGTGCCCAGCCTGCCTGCATCCCACCATGGTATCCCGCTGTCCACGCCCAAGCAAGGAGACCCAGGACCTGTAGCAGATCCTGCTGTTCACTCTGCCTGACTCTCACTAGAGACTGTAGAACATCACATGCGCCCACCTGGACCTCATGCAGCAGCGACTCATGGCAAGCACCCACATGCCCACAAGCCACCAGCCAGCTATCCCACACTTGCCCACCCTCTGCCCTCACCACATGTCCTGGACTGGAGCACCGACTTTCACATGGTCAATGAGGACAAGGCCATCCAGGATGTCATGGACACATGATGTTCTGGCACAAATTCCATACCGTCAAGCATGAGTTCTGGGCCCAGGACACCAGCACCGACTGGTGGGAGAGGATTGTCTTGGGCACCTGGGATGACAAACAGTGGCTCCAGACCTTCCACATGAGCCAGGCCACCTTCATGGATGCCGTCCCCCAGCTAGTCTCCAACATCATGCACTACGATGTCAGCATACAGCCATCCCTCACTCCGGAGAAGCTGGCCACCCCCAGCAGTTACTGCTATGTCAGCAACCAGTTTTGCACGGGCAAAAACATGGCTGGAAAGGCCATCTGGGAAGTGTGCCTGATCATTCAGGATGTCCTGTCCAACCACTTCATTCACCCTGGCAGCCGACAGGAGGCAGTCATTGGCTTCCATTGCATGGTCCTCCCCAATTGTGTGGGATCCCAGTACCCTCCAGACCCCTATCCCTATGCCAGGCCACCCAGGCATTCATCAACCACAAGGACTACTTCTATGTCATCCTGCACAGTGTTTTCGACCACTGAGGCCACTTCATCCATATCTTTATTAGCTGCGACGGCAGCACCCATGAAACCCACATCTTCCACAACTCCCTGCTCCCTGGGAAGATGGAAAGTAGGCACTACACTCCTGGGCTCCCAGTTTCATACCCAGTTATGTCATTTCCCCCTCTTCTCACACCCTTCTGCCCTGGCTGATGAAAATCTATGGGGGGCAGCTGGATCATAGAATTACAGAACCAGAAGGGACCTGTAAGATCTTCATCTGCAGTCCCCTGCCATAGGCAGGAAGTTATTGGGATCCGACAAGCTTGACAAGGTGCCTGTCCAGTCTCATCTTGAACAC